CTGGGATGGGATGGGTGTTAGGGACTGAAAATTTAAATAGGAGACTCTTTAGGTTCATTTACTCTTGACTTGTTGCTAGTTGGCAACAAAGCAAATGTGTCAATGTAAAAGTAAAATGACTTTTTACTTCAAGTGTTGTTTCAGGAGCTTTGGCCTAAATTTTTGTGAATAAAATTACACCATGTAATTTAATCCTTAACCCCTCCCACCAGATCCTTAAAGAATCAGCCCAGATGTTTAAGACCATTATGGACAGAGATAAATATTTCTAAGTCTCTTAGAAAGTATTCTTTCTGGCTACTTATAAAGCAGTATCCAATTAATTCTGTGGAAGTTCACAGGGTTAGACTAAGTGCATTTGATCCCATGATGTTGAGGAGGGGGCTGATAGGGTATAGATATACCAGGCGTGCTTGAGGGTTACTCCCAGCCCGGTGCTCAGGAATCTCACCCTGAGGTTCTGGGGACTGTGCAGTGTCTGGGATGGCGGACCCCAGTCTTCTCCTGCGTGCGACAACTCCCTCCTTTGAGCTGTCTCCTGGGAAAACGGGCGTTTCAGGAAAAACTAGCCTCATGTGTGAACTAAACACAGATTTCGAGTCTAGCTGTGGTATAAAAGTTGAAATAGATGAAGAGAAAATCAGTGACCCTTTTTTCCATGACGTGTGACACGTTTCAAGTATCTAACATTTTTGTTGTGGTTCTTAAGGAAATGATCTCAACGCCCTTACTGGATTTATGAACCTGTGAAATGCTCATCAGATTCTGGGCTTTGCTTTCATTTTGATTTACGCGATTGGTTTATCTGTAATTAGCAATGACGTCTCTGTGATTGCAAAGATGCAACTAAAAATAGATTGCCGGTCCAAATTCCCAGAGCCCATCGGTGTGTGTAAACAGTAGGTCTGGGACTTTGCAGTAAATCCTGTAAGTCATTTATTGATATATTTGCAGTAAATAGTGTGACAGCCTGTAGACTGTGTCCCCCAAGGATAGCTTTTCAGTCACGCTGGCTTGGGGGGTAGTGTACTGGCAGCCCTGTCCTTCATTTTCACATTTCCCAACTCCAGACTTCAGCCAGCTCAACACAACACTTCCTTGCCTCCTTTATTTTCCGTCTTCCCTCCTTGCATTTTTGAGCCATATCCTGTGGGGCTCGGGACTGCTCCAACAGTGCTCGGGGACCGTGGTGTGGGGGGTGAACCTTGGGGTCTCGCGCTGCAGAGGCCCGCTCCTGATGGAGGGCCTCCCTGCCTCCGTCCTTCCCCTGACCTCCTGCCCCACCTCTCCCGGCCCAGTTTCTGCCTCAGGGACAGCTGGGGTTCCGTCAGGTCCTGCCGTTACCCCTTTCCTCTCCCCCGCTTGCCACCCCGCTGTTTTCCTCTCCCACAACCTCAGCCTCTTGCACTTAGTCTCCTGGGCCAACCCTGGGTTCCGTGACGCCTTTGCTTCCGAGTCCTGTGCTCAGTGAGCAGCTTCTTCCCAAAGCTGCTGTTGCTCACGCCGGCTCTACAGAATGGCTGCCGGGAAGCCAGAGCAGGAGAGCACACCTGGCCTTACACACAGGCACGTGCACCCGCCCCGACACACACACACACGCACACACACACGCACTCACACACTCACACTCACTTGCACACCCTTCCCAGATGCACACACACACACACACACACACACACACTCTCTCTCTCTCTCTCACATACACAAAACATGCACACCCTTCCTAGACAAACACACACACACACACGCAAACATGCACACCTTCCCAGACAAACACACACACACACACACACACACACACACACACACACTCACACACTTCTCCCAGGAACACCTCACCCTTCCTGGACACACACCCTTTCCAGATACACACCCCTCCTTCCCAGACAAACACACACACATACACACATGCACGTACCCTTCTCAGACACACATGTGTACCCTACCTAGATATATATACCTCTTCCCAAACACACACATACACCATACCCAGATACACACACACACCCTGCCCAGACACACACGCACCCTCCCTATACACATACACATACCCTATCCGGATGCACAGAACACACACACACACACACACACACACACACACACACACCTCTTCCCAAACACATACATATACCCTACCCAGATACATACTCTTCCCAGACACACACACACACACACACACACACACACACACACACACATCCTTCCAAGGTGCACACATACACACCCACACACTCTTTCCAGACACACCCTTCTCAGACACACATGCATCCACACACCCTTCCCAGGCACACTCGGGCACGCACCCCCGGCCTGCCCTCGATGGCCTGGCTCTTCCCACCGAGTTCCAAGTTCCTGCACTAGAGACACAGGGGCCAGTTTGGTGACAAGACTAAGTGAGTGAGTCGTTCCGGGGACCCGCATTGGGGTCGGGGAGGCCTGGGATGGGGCCTGGTGCAGTGGGGCGTCCCTCCCTAGGTGCCCAGATGGCCACAGCTGAGGCTCCCCCAGTGATCTGTCCAGCCACCCCCTCCTCAGACAGATCTAGTAGCACTCTCAGTGACCCCGGTAGAGGAGGATTTCACACGCTGCCACAGAAGGGCCCCAGACTTCACTTGCATAAATCAACCTTCCACCCCCCACACTTGAAAAATACAGCATTAGTGGCTGGAACAATAGCACAGCGAGTAGGGTTCGATTCCCAGCATTCCATATGGTCCCCAGCACTGCCGGGAGTAATTCCTAAGTGCAGAGCCTGGAGTAACCCCTGTGCATCGCCGGGTGTGACCCAAAATTAAAAAAATAAAAAAAACACAGCATTAGCGTTTGGTTCCTGGCACCCATGTGGTTCCCCAAGCCCCGCCAGGAGTGAGCCTGAGCACCACCGGGTGTGGCCCCAAACCCCAAACACACACACACAACCCCAACCAAACCCAAGAGGCTGTGTGATTCTGGGGCGGAGCAGGGAAGCTGGAGCAGGGCCGCCTCCTTCCGAGAGAGAGAGAGAGAGAGAGAGAGAGAGAGAGAGAGAGAGAGAGAGAGCCTCGGCACAGCTCAGTGAGCTGTAGCCCTTCACCCGTAATGATTTCTCGGCAGTAGAGAACCGTGCTGTAACACAGACAAATGGTCAGCACCAGGCACAGGGGAATTGCAGCTTCTCTAATGTTGTTACTTAGTGTTTAGGTCTGCTTCAGAAATCACTTAAAAAAAAAATTTAAAAATGTATTTTTTTTTTGGTAGGGGCACAGCTTACTGGCTCTGCCCTCAGGAATTAGTCCAGGCCATGCTCAGGGGGCCCTGTGGGATACTGGGGGTTGAATCTGGGTCGGCCGCCTGCAAAGCAAACACCCTGCTCTGGACCATCTCTCCGCACCCCCCAGAATCACTTTGACCGCTCAACTCTTTTTTTTTTTTCTTTTTGGGTCACACCCAGTGATGCTCAGGGGTTACTCCTGGCTTTGCACTTAGGAATCTCTCCAGGTGGTGCTCGGGGGACCATATGGGATGCTGGGAATCGAACCAGGGTCAGCCACGTGCAAGGCAAACACCCTACCCGCTGTGCTATTGCTCCAGCCCCGAACGCTCAACTCTTGGTATAAAGCACCTTGGGAACCCATCGTGATCTTCCTGGCCAGGTGTTCATTAAAGGAAGACCTTTGGGGGTTGCGTGCACCAGCTCCCCTAGATGCCACTCTGCTGTGTGGAATATGGTCAAAAAAAGACGTTGGGGTAGCAAGGAATGGGTCTTTGGTGACTTCCCTTCCGGGAGCCAGGAAGTGTTGGTTCTCTTCTTAGGCACACCGTGCCACAGAGGGGCCCTTCTCGAAAAGCCCAGTTCCTCTTCCTCCTGCATATCTTGTCAGAAGTCCAGGCTGCAGTTGCTCACGCACGCCTGCCGCGGCTTCATCTCTCTCTTTGCTGCTGCTGGGAAGGGTCCTGGTGAAAGCTAATGAGCGAGCCCAGCTGCGGGAGGCACGGGATCCGGTGATCAAGGCCGGAGTCTCTCTGCTTCTTTCCCTTGATCTTGTCTTGATGCTTAGCCCAAAGGTTTTGCAGAGCATCCCTTCCTCCCCCGGGAAAGCAAGCCCTGCTTGTCGCTGTGATGACCAGCTGGCGTCCTGCCTCGCTTACTCCTTGATTCGAGCCCCATAGCTCTTCAGAGGATGAGACACAAGCCCTGCACTGTCGGTGGCCACGGGCGGACCCCCTTTGTCAAGGGGGTGAGCTGCTTGGTCAGGTCATTCCAGCCGTGCGCTCCTTAGCCTAGTCGTTTCTTCGGAAAGACTTGTGAAAGCTCACCGGCCCATGAAATCTGAAATAGCTGCTGTGTTCCATGAGCCCCTCTTTGGAAGGAGGTTGGATTTGTTTTTTGTTTGTTTTTTGCATTGTGGGTCACACCCAGCGATGCTCAGGGGTTACTCCTGGCTCATGCACGCAGGAATTACTCCTGGCGGTGCTCTGGGGACCATATAAGATGCCAGGGATTGAACCTGGGTTGGCTGTGTGCAAGGCAAACGCCCTACCCGCTGTGCTATCGCTCCAGCCCCAGAGGTTGGATTTGGACGGGGGTTGGGTGGGTGGAGGGATCATGCCCTGCCACTTCGTACGGGGACCTTCTCAGGCTAGTAACCTGCAGTGTGTCGAGGACAAGTGAATGCGTTCCTGAGGTCCCCCAGCGTGTGAGCGGGACTTTCCTCTTGTCACTGTAGTCACGGTCCCCCAAGGACCAAATTTTTTTTGGGGGGTCATACCCAGTGATACTCAGGGATAACTCCTGGCCCTGCATTCAGGAATTACTCCTGGAAGTGCTCAGGGGACCATATGGGATGCTGGGAATCAAACCCGGGTCGGCCGCGTGCAAGGCACACCCACTGTGCTGTCGCTCTGGCCCTGGACTAGGGTTTTGATGGGGTGATGGGCAGGCATGCAATGCTTGCTCCCTGCAGGTGTGTGCCCAAGAGAGCCCGCCACTAATCCCGGAACACAACTTTTCTTTCCTGCAGGTGCCCGAGATCATCAGCTCCATCCGGCAGGCCGGGAAGATCGCCCGCCAGGAGGAGCTCCACTGCCCATCGGAATTCGACGACACGTTTGCCAAGAAGTTCGAGGTGCTCTTCTGTGGCCGTGTGACGGTGGCCCACAAGAAGGCCCCCCCGGCCCTGATCGACGAGTGCATCGAGAAGTTTAACCATGTCAGCTGCGGCCGGAAGGCTGAGACCCGGGACCTGGCCCCTCAGAACCCCGACACTATGGGTCCGGCCGTGGCAGGGGGGCTTTCCTTGGCGGACAGGTTCCGCTCGGTGCTGCAGCCCGTGGGCAACGGGGAGCAGGCCCAGCGGCCCATGCGCAAGTCCTTCTCGCAGCCCGGACTGCGCTCTCTGGCCTTCCGGAAGGAGTTCCAAGGCGGGAACCTGCGCAGCCACAGTTTCTTCAGCTCCTTTGAAGAAAATGACATTGAGAACCACCTCATCGGCGGGCACCATAGCGTGCAGCCCACAGACATGGAGGAGAATCGAACTATGCTCTTCACGGTAAATACCCTCGGTGCTGAGAGGGGCACTCAACGGAAAAGCTGCCCCACAGAGCTGGGGCCTTCGGTGGATTTTCATTCATTTTTTAATTTTTTTTTTTGGTAGTGTTGGTGGTGGTGGGTTACCCCTGGCAATGCTCAGGGGTTCCTCCTGGTTCTGGACTCAGGAATTACTCTCTGTGGTATTGGGGGGTGGCATATGGGATTGCCGGGGATCGAACCCACGTCAGGGCACATGCAAGGCAAACACCTTACCCACTGTACTCTCTCTCAGCCCCTGTAGATTCCTTTTGAATCCACACGTATCTTTCGTATGCAATTACTCTCTTTACGGGATGAGGGATGAGATCCTGACTTGGGGGGCTGGAGTGATAGCACAGCGGGTAGGGCGTTTGCCTTGCACGCCACTGTCACGGTTTCGATTCCCAGCATCCCATATGGTCCCCCGAGCACCGCCAGGAGTAATTCCCTGTGCATCGCCGGATGTGACTGAAAAAGCAAAAAAAAAAAAAAAAATCCCGACTTGGGTGGTCAGCCTTTAAAATCCACTGGGAGACAGAGGGCCCCATCTCAGATCTTATATGAGCTTTACTTCCCCAGTCCCTTTTAGTGTGGGAAGAACCATGAGTGTGCGGAAAAGAGACAGCCCCTGCCCCCAAGGGGGCTTTTCCAAAATGCTGATTGATTTCAAGGAATGCGTTTCCCACAACCTCTCTTTGAAAGAAGACTCCCTCCTTTTTAGTTTTTATTCCTTTGGAAGACATTGGCTCATCAGGATAATTGGATGCGGGAGAATCCAAGATTCTTGAAATTCATGCCAAAGTGAAATACGAGTTGAGCCGATGGTAAACAGTAATTAAAGCCAAGAACTATTAATTTAGTTATGTTATGTGGTTGCTAAACTGACAATGAGGCTTGAAGGCCAGAAAGGAGGAGCTGGGGGGAGAGGGTCGTTCTGGGGCTCAGTGCTGATATGGCCCCCTCTGTCCTCTGGGACACGTACCGGGGGGCTTCCCGCTCCCGTGTCAGTCTCAGGACTGGTGGACATCTGATCCCCGAATGCAGAGTCTTGTTTTGCACCTGACCCAGCCGCAGAGACGGAGGCAGAAGAGCTGCTTGGGTTCCTTCGTCGTGGGTGTGTGCAGGGGATGAACACGGTTGGGTGTCAGCAGATACCCGGGGCTGCTGTGTTCATCGGCAGCCAGAGATTCCCAAATCTACTTGGCTTTCCTTCGCCTCACGTTTTTTTTTTTTTTGCTTTTTTGGGTCACACCCTGTGATGCACAGGGGTTACTCCTGACTCTTCACTCAGGAGCCAGTCCTGGCAGTGCTCAGGGGATCATATGGGATGCTGGGAATTGGTCGGCTGCATGCAAGGCAAACACCCTACCCGCTGTGCTATCGCTCCAGCCCCTCGCCTCACACTTTTTAGAAAGAAAAAAAAATTACTCAGCACACCACTGGGAATCTACCTTTTCTAGCAAACACACAGAAAGCTCCACTCGTTCCCTTCCCACACACACACTTGGCTGCACCCAGCTACCCTGTAAAGCATCACAGAGCCCCTGCATCCCTGCCCTGCATCCTCCTCTCCCCCCCTCCCAGAGAGCGGTGACCTGCACTTTGGGAAAGACCAGGGGAAGGGCTGCATCTGCATCCAGCAGAGCCCTTTAATCTGTGATCAGTAATGGAAAAATAGTAGAACCCCACCCCCCAAAAAAACCCCTAACTCTCAGTGAATTGGGGAGGGTGCTCAGTGCATTTATTTTCAGTGGGGTTTTTTTTGCTTTGCTTTTTGGGTCACACTCGGCGATGCACAGGGGTTATTCCTGGCTCATGCACTCCAGGAATTACTCCTGGTAGTGCTCGGGGGACCATATGGGATGCTGGGGATCAAACCTGGGCCTGCCCACTGTGCTATTGCTCCAGACCCCCACGTTTTAGTTTCTTTTTGTTTGGGGACTCCATCTGGTTGGTCTGGGGGTTGCTCCCAGTGCTGCAGTGCTGCGGGGATAGGACCCCAACTGAGAGCTCCCCCTTGCTCTGTTCTCCCTGGCCTGGCTTGTGTTGGTTGCTTAGTAGATGCTAAGGTCGTAACTGGGAAAAGGCTGTACCTGCTCGAAGTGTGCGTTCAGGGGAGGGCAGAGCATTGCTGTTAATTTGGGAGCCCTTCCTAGAAGTGACCAGGGTTCCCAGGCCCCACTCCCGGCAATCCTCAGCCAATGGGGCCAGAGGGTCCCTGTGCAGGACTCAGGATATGGTACTTCCCAGGCCCTATGGTACCAGGGATCCCCCAGGCCACCTGAATGCAAGACCATGGATTCTGCCTATTCTAGAGTAGAGTCCTAAAGGTGGGTTTGTTTGAACATGAATTTAAAGAACCTTTTAGTTTAGTGTTTTTTTTTCTTTTTGGGTCACACCCAGCGATGCTCAGGGGTTCCTCCTGGCTCTGCACTCAGGAATTACTCCTGGTGGTGCTCCGGGCACCACGTGGGATGCTGGGAATCCAACCTGGTCGGCTGCGTGCAAGGCAAATGCCCTACCCGCTGTGCTATCGCTCCAGCCCCAGGACCTTTTAGTTCAGAATGACCACTGCTGGCGGGCAGACAGAGAGTACAGTGGATAAAGATGTGGCTGATTTGGGTTCAGTCCCTGACACCAAATATGGTCCCCCAACCACTGCTGGGAGTGATTCCTGAGCACTGAACCAGCAGTTAAGTCCTGAACATCGTTGTTTGTGGCCCCTTCACAAAGCACTAAAATAACTGCAGTTTTCTGAAGTGCAGTTCTCAGAGCCAGAGAGATAGTACAGCGGGTAGGGCATTTGCCTTGCATGTGCCTGACCCAGTTCAATCTCCAGCATCCCACATGGTCCTTCTGAGCCTTGCCAAGAGTAATCCCTGAGTGCAGAGCCAGGAGTAGCCCCCGAGCAGGTGTCCCTACCCTGCCTCCCCCCACCCCCCAAAAAAAAGTGGAGCTCTGTCTTCCGTAAGACTGAGACCCAGGCTCCATGGAGGCAGTGCACTGCTCCGGGCCCTGTCACTCACTTCTGGGTCTTTGTCTTCTCCCTTTAGTTGTTAGCCTGTGTTAGCTGAACCCCCCTGGGTAAAGGAACCCTCAAAGTGACTTTCCAGGGCGAGATAGAACTTCACAGAGGAGTACTCCTTTCACTCATCATTTCCACAGGTCGTCAGACGGGAATGTTTGTGTGATTAACCTGAATTCAGTTTGTGAAAAGCTAGTTGCTTTCGTTGTTATTGTTTATCTTTTAAGATTGGCCAATCTGAAGTTTACCTCATCAGTCCGGATACCAAAAGAGTAGCACTGGAGAAGAATTTTAAGGAGATATCCTTTTGTTCTCAGGTAAGTGAACGTGGGTTGTTTATTGCTCAGTTACAGTTGAAATTTTGGAGTGAAATTTGAAGTGAAGTTTTCATTCATTGGCAGTGTTGCAGGATTTATTTAATACCTGACACTCAAGAGCCGTGCAAGCGTCCCAAGAAATGTGATTTCTGAGTATTGGATTTGGGATTTTATATTTGTTTTTCCTTTGCTTTGATACACACAAACACACACACACACAAATAATTTAAAAATCAGTTTTGCTCTTAACAGACAATATCCTTCTAGAGAAAATAGATCCTTTTCAATTATTTATTGTGATTTCCAGGTACATATTTGTTTCTGTGTAACTGTTTATTCATCTACATTTTATACAATTTATAACTTTTCTGAAGTGCTTATCAGTTCTCCTTCCTTAAAGCATAATAGTGATTTTTTAAAAAATTTATCTTTTATCAAATACAGTGTCTTTCTGAGGTGTTTTTATTGGTGGTGTGAGGGAGAATTTGGGCCACACCGGCAGTGCTCAGGACTTACTCCTTGTTCCGTGCTCAGAGATGGGCTCTTGGTGGGGCTTGGGGGACCGGGGATTGAAGCCAGGCTGGCTACATGCAAGGCAGATGCCCTACCCACTGTACTACACTGCTCTGGCCCCTCTACTTCAGTTTTGTTTGTTTTTCCTTTTGGGGACATGCCTGGCAGTGCTTAGGAATTGCTCCCGACTTTGTACTCTGGCATTACTCCTGACATGGTCTGGGGACCCCAGGGGATGCTAGGGATCAAACCCGAGTCAACCATGGCACGGCAGGGGCCTTACCCATTGTGCTTTCTCTCCCGCTTTTCTGCTTCAGTTTTTAAAATAATATATTGTTATTTTCTAGGTATAAACAAGTCATGTTATATCATGCTGGATCAATGACTACTTGAGTTCTTAATGGGTATTTTCTGGATTCTTTCCTAGAGAGATTTTGGAGACTGCCAATTATAACGAGCTCTGCCAATTTTACTCGGGCTCTTCCTAACAGACTTGAGGTCATTTAAAATTATTGTTTGTTGCTTTTGAAGTTTCACTTCTCATTTCCATGTTTCCAAAGTTAATAAGAACAAAATGAAGACCTCATTGTTTCTTCGATTATAATAATTGTCTAGAGTCTACATTAGGATTAAAAAAGAAACATTTAGGGGAAAAAACAAAAAAAAAGTCAAAAAGATAAAGATTGTGATAAAGATTGTACCTAAAATGCAGTTGGAACAATTTATAAAGATTGTGATAAAAATTGTGATAAAGATTGTACCCAAAATGCAGTTGGAACAATTTACAAAGGAAACTTTTTTTTTTCCTTTTTGGATCACACCTGGCAATTCTCAGGGGTTCCTCCTGGCTCAGCACTCAGGAATTACTCCTGGCAGCGCTCGAGGGACCATAAGGAATGCTGGGAATCGAACCCGGGTCAGCAGCGTGCAAGGCAAATGCCCTCCCTGCTGTGCTGTCACTCCAGCTCAGGAAACTTTTATTTTTTATTTCAAATCATATTTCCCTGAGAAGTAACCTCTAGCATATCTTTGATTTGCTCCTGAAGAACATTGATCAAGATGCTGGCATATCAGTCCTTACCCATTTATTGAAAACTATTTGAGCAGAAAGTAAGATTACACAATATTTTTTTATTAACCTTGATTGGCTGCTGTTCCTATGGAGTATTAATGTTTTATTTTTTCTTAAATGTGACAGTTTATAATTTCCTCCAGCTGTTGTTTATAAATATACGCGATGACGCAAGCGTCAGTCTGTCAGCCCTTGTATCTCTCTGCTATGCTGGTGATTTTGAGAGACATGGATGAATGAATGTGAAGGGCTTATCTGTGTGACCTTGTCTCTTTGAGACCTTCACAAGAAGTTGAGATAGCATTTATTCAAAAGAGCTTTTAGGAAATTGTGCTATAGGCCTCACCTCACCTAATAGCTCAAGTGTAAAAGGATCTCTATGCACTATTTTTTGTACATCTAATTTGGGGGGTGGGGTTGGTGGGGTCACCCAGAAGACGACTCCTGGCTTGGTCTCAGGGAACTGTGGAGGCCTGGGATTCAGACATGAGGGGCTTCTGGAGGCACAATATTTGCTCCAGCCCTTTGCTATCTCTCAGCACTTGTGCAGATCCTTCCTGACCAATGCTTCAGGCCAGTGTTTCCCCACCTGGTTTTTTGTTCTTTTTTTTTTTTTGCTTTTTGGGTCATGCCGGTGTTGCACAGGGGTTATTCCTGGCTCATGCACTTAATGCACTCAGGAATATTACTCCTGGTGGTGCTCAGGGGACCATATGGGATGCTGGGAATCGAACCCGGGTTGGCGGCACGCAAGGCAAACAACCTACCCGCTGTGTTATTGCTCCAGCCTCTTGTCTGTTATTTTAGGAGCACGCACATAGCTTTGCTATGAACCTTTTTTTTCCTTTTTGATTTTTGGGTCACACCTGGTGATGCACAGGGGTTACTCCTGGCTCTGCACTCAGGAATTACTCCTGGCAGTGCTCAGGGGACCATATGGGATGCTGGGAATCGAACCTGGGTCGGCCATGTGCAAGGCAAATGCTTTACCTGCTGTGCTATTGCTCCAGTCCCAAAATAGTCTTTTTTATACCTAAGAAATGGTGTGTGTGTGTGTGAAGGTTACTTCCCCTGGTCCTAAAATGAGTGTTTAAAACTCTCGTTTTCAGCCTTCATCTCTGGCGAGGGTGCTCTGCGTGGCCCTCGGGTGGGATGAGGCTAGCCGGCACTCCCCGCCTGAGAGGTGGTTTTTGGTGTGTGGTACCTTTGGAGCTTGTGCCAATGCTGAAGATGCAGTGGTGACCATCAGCCACTCAGGACTTCTGTACTTCCCACCTCCACAGGGCATCAGACATGTGGACCACTTTGGGTTTATCTGCCGGGAGTCTTCCGGAGGTGGGGGCTTCCCCTTCGTCTGCTACGTGTTCCAGTGCGCCAGCGAAGCTCTGGTAAGAGGGGCGGCCGCATCCCTGCAAAATCGAACATCTCCTCTCCTGAGCAAAAGCCACTCACCCTCAGTCGTGCGCTGCTTGGCTCACGGCAATTTAATAACTAGCCTACTCATCACTTGAAACTCATTCAGGCATTCATTTTCCATCTTTCTTTGGTTTGGGGGCTACACCCAGTGATACTCAGGACCTGGTGAGGGTCCTGGGGGGACCATATATGGTCCTGGAGATTTGAACCTGTCAGTTGCGCACAAAGCAAATGCCTGACCCACTGTAGTGTGTCCCTTCAGATTTTGGGGGGAAATGGGGCGGGAGCTCAACGGGTGGAGAGACCTGTTCTGGCAATTCTTGTCTAAGCAGACAGGCAGTTCAGTGCTTGGATCCCGGGATGCTGTGCTGTTTGGACTCTGCAGTGATGGGGTGTTCCAGGGCTGGTGCAATGCTCAGAGTGCCACATGGTACTGGGGATCAAACTAGGTCCTGTGCCATGGTCCCTGCGCTTTCTCCCAGGCTTTTGCATTTTTTTCAGTTTTCTTTATTCTTAGTTTTGTTTGGTGGCCATGCCTGGTGGAGCTGGCGAGTGTCCTGGCCTCAGTGCTAGGGATGCTGTTTCTGCCGGGCTCCTGTGTGTACTCCAGTTTTCTGAGCTATCCCAGCACCTCCATTCTCGTGAACTTCAAGCAGCCTGTTCACTTTGGCCGTCAGGCTTGGTATTTTTAAAGTTTTTTTCCTCTGTGCTGGGGGTGTGAAACCAGGCCTCACTCCTGCAAGGATTCAGGAGTTCCATCACTGAGCCCTGCCCTGGTCCAGCCTTTTAAGAATAGCATTTTGGGGACCAGAGCAATAGTACAGCATTTGTCTTGGACGTGACCCACTTGGATTTGATCCCTTGCGCCATCTACGATCTCCCGAGCCCCGCCATGATCCTTGAGCACAGAGCCAGGAGTAAGCCCTGGGTACCTCTGGGTGTGGCCCCCAAACCAAAAATATCTCTATGTATAGCATTTTGGACATTTGGTCTTGGACCCGAGGAATTGACTCCTCTCCCACCTCCCTGCCTCCCCAGATTATTTTTTTTCCTTCTTTTTTGGGCCATACCCAGTGATGCACAGAGGTTACTCCTGGCTCATGCACTCAGGAATTACTCCTGGTGGTGCTCGGGGGAGCACATGGGATGCTGGGAATCAAACTTGGGTCTGCCACATGTAAGGCAAAAGCTGTGCTATCGCTCCAATCCCCCCAGATTCTTTCTGAACTTTTGCCTGATTTCTCTGTGTGTGTGTGTGTGTGTGTGTGTGTGTGTAGTGGTGGGGGGGGGATGTTGGGGGGAATGATGATGGTCACAAAGCCTGCAGTCCAGCTGTTTGAGCATCACTTCAGATGCCTGATCTGTAAGAGCCAGACACACCCAAGCAGTGCTTCTCAGCCCCAGAACTGGCCATTGGGGAAAGTCCTCCAGGAAAAGTCCTCCAGGGTCAGAGCTACGGATGCTTTCCCGCTGGCTCCCATGGCCCCCTCTTTTGGCACAGGTAGACGAGATCATGATGACGCTGAAGCAGGCCTTCACAGTGGCCGCCGTGCAGCAGACGGCCCGCGCGCCCACGCAGCCCTGTGATGCCTGCCCCCTTCAGGCCCTGCACAGGCTCTGTGAGCGCATCGAGGGTGAGTGCTGGGCATCGGGCCACTGCAGTGAGGGGCTGGTTTCGGGGAGGCCGTGTCACCAGCAGCTCGGGAGCACACCCACGGGGAGGGCGTGTCAGTGACCTCGGAACCTGCCATGGGTGTGTTGTCCTCTCCCCCGTGTTCCGGAACCAGAGGTGAGATCCCTGTGGGCCGGCTCCTGTGTCCCCTCTGGGGACCAGGGGTTGGGTGTCATGGGAACCAGGTTCCCGGACCCGCTACGCTCCTTGTCCAGGTAGGGGGACATTCTCATGGGAAGACTGAGGTTTGCCACCTTTCTTGAGCCCTCAGCCTGCTTGGGTTAGGGTCTGGGGCCATCAGTTGATAGGGATTGATGGCCATCAGTTGATGGCCATCAGTTGATTCTGGAGATCAAACCTGGGACCCTGCTATGCAAAGCCGTAACCTACTCCCCCATTTCAGAAGAGGAAGGACTCAGCCCTCTGCCCCCCCTCCCCCCGCCCCAATCGCAGATTCCCGCTATCCCACCCGGGAGTCTCCGGCCTAGAGAGATGCAGGGAGAACAGAGCTGAAGCGTTTCCGTCCGGCTTTTCTGTGGAAGGACACGGGGTGCCATGACCAGCGCATTCTCTGGGGGCTGTCCAGGGGCAGGAGACAGGCCATCGCTGGCTGTAGGTGGGACCCGGGGCAAGAAATAGTCCAAGACATGGCGCAGCTGGCTGGGGGAGGCCTGGGTTCGATCCTTGGGGCTTTGAGCTGGGAACGGCCCCCGAGCACCACCAGAGTGCCCTCAAAACCGAAAGATGAAATCCAGAAAGGGTGTTGGCCATGAGCCTTCCCTTAGTCTGAGAAGCCTGTTTGTGGGAGAAGGCCGCACCCTGTAGCACTGCATTGTAACACTGTTCTCCCATTGTTCATCAATTTGCTTGAGTGGGCCCAGTAATGTCTCCATTGTGAGACTTGTTACTGTGTTTTTCATATCGAATATGTCACAGGTAGCTTGCCAGGCTTTGCTGTGTGGGTGAGATACTCTCGATAACTTGCCGGGCTTACTAAGAGGGGCGGAGGAATCGAACCCGGGTTGCCCAGGTCAGCTGCATGCAAGGCAAACGCCCTACCTGCTGTGCTATCGCTCCTGCTGAACCCTATGACCTGATTTTCTTTTGTTGCGCATGGAGGGCTCCTGGGGGCTTGGGGTCGCCGTTGGCAGTGCTTGGGGCTCACTCACAGTGGGGGCTCATGGGACCCCGCGAGGTGTTGGGATCAGACTGGGGCTGGCAGCGTGAGCGAGGCCCTTCTTTCCAGCACCTCTCCATTCGTCCATTTGTGTTTTTGCCCGGGTCACAGTGTCACTCCCTTTAGGGAGGAGTCCCCTCTGTCCAGTCGCCAGGGACCCCATCCCGGCATCTGGGACTCTCGCTGCTCCTCCCCCTCTCAGCATTGTGGAGGATGCGACTAGGCCCGGTGGCCACTGTCTGGATGTTGAGGGTGCTGCTTGCTCTTCCTCGGGCAGCAGACCCAGAAGTGCAAGGGCCAGGGCATGTGATGGCCCTGTGTTTAGTGGTCTGAGAAGTGGCCGGACCCTCCGCAGACAGTGCACGAGAACGCCCCTTTGTCCACGGCCTCCCGCTCCCTTCTGAGGCCACAGTCATGAGCCTGCAGGGCAAGCACGTCTCCCTTTCAAAAACGAGGCTGGCTAGGCAGTGGCCACCCTCGTTGCTGTTTTGCAGAGTATCCTGGTGCTCTTTAAGATGAGTCAAGGCGGACTGGCATGATAGTACAACAGGAAGCGTGCTGATCTGGCACACGGCTGGCCCGGATTTGACCCCCGGCTTCCCATATAGTCCCTTGAGCCCTGCCAGGAGTAATTCCTGAGCACAGACCCAGGAGTAATCCCTGGGCAACGCCAGGTGTGGCCCAAAAACAAAACAAGCAAAAAAAAAAAAAAATCAAATGAATCAGGGTGGGCCTGGGGGTTTGGCTCACTGGTACAGCACTTGCCTTGCATGAGGAGGGGTGGGATTCCTTCCTCGGCTCTGCAGCAATAAATGAATCAAATGAGTCAAGGAACTGGGAGATGGCTCAAAGAATGGAGTATGTGTCTTACTTGCATGAGACCCCAAGTTTGACCCCGTGGTGTTGAGCGTCACCAGGAGTGACCCGCAGGCCATTGAGGGAAGGTGAGGACACATCAAATAAATGAAAATGATAAATTTTTTTGTTTGTTTGGTTTTGGAGTCACCCTCACGATGATGCACAGGCGTTACGCTGGGCTCTAGCACTCAGGATTTACTCCTGATGGTGCTTGGGGGACCATATGGGATGTCAGAGACGACACCCAGGTCTACTGCATGCAAGGCAAACACCTACCTGCAGTGCTATCTCTCCAGCACCAATTTTCTTTTGTTTATCTTTTTGAGGACCACACCTGGTGATGCTCAGGAGTTAGTCCTGGCTCTGCACTCACTTAGGAATCACCCCTGGCGGTTCTTGGGGTACCACATAGGATGCCAGGGATTGAACCCAGGCTGGCTGTGTGCAAGGCAAGTGCACTCCCTGCTGTATTATCATCTGGCCCTGTTCAATAATTTTAACTGTTTTTTGGGTGTTTTTCCTTTTTTTTTCAGTTGTTATTCTTTGCTGACATTATATGAAATATGCCTGGGAACAAGGAAAGTTGTGCTTTAATTGCCGATCCTATCTGAAAGGGCCAAGTCACTCTAAGTTGTCAAGATCACGTAAATGATGACGAAAATGTCCTGTAAGAGCCTGCTCAGAGGTCAGCAGTGACTTTGGCCCTGAGGAGAAAGCAGATGGTCTTCTGCAGGCACTGGAAGGATTCCTGATTTACACTTGTTCAATTTAAAAATATATATATTAAAAAAATTGTTTTGGGGCCACCGTCAATTGTGCTTCAATGCTTATTCCTGACTCTGTGTTCAGGAATCACTCCTGGTGTGGGCTCCTTTGGGGGCCGAGGTGCTGGGGACTGAACCTAGGTCAGCCGCGTGCAAGGCAGGCATCTTCCTTGATCCATCTTGCTTTCAGAAAGTTATAACCGAAAAGTTTAATCAGGGTAGGGATTTTGCTGCTGTAGTTTGAGAATGATGGTTTAACGTGTCTTCTTTAACTGATAAAATCCAGCCAGAGCAGAAAGCCAGGATGATGGATTGGGGAAGCCTCCGACCCTGCCCTGGGGTGGGGCATCATGTTTAAAGGGGGGATGGTGTGTTGGGAGAGGCGTCCCGTGCCCAAATGGCACTGCCCCATGGGCCTACGGCTGCCCCTCCCAGGCCTTTTGTCTCAGTGGTGCTGTGGCCCTCCAGGGCAAGTAGGTGACAGGGCAGCTCTTACTTGTTTCCCGGTGGTCAAGCAGGGTCTCACCCCTAGCTGCCCCCATCCACCAGCTCCCCGCAGGCACTGGATGGGCCCTTTCCCATCTGCCTTTCCTTCAGGACCTCCGTCGGGGTCTTCAGGGCCCCAAGCAGTAAGAGGGAAGGTGTTAGCGGCTCCCATCGACCTGGCTAGAAACCTGGCCCTTGCTGGGGGACAGGGCCCTGGAGAAGCTCCTCTTTCTGGGAATTAAGCCAAGCTCACTCATTAATGGGACCTTTTCCCCAAACCCATTTCCCAAGCCAGTATCCTGATGGTGTGAGTGTGTGAACGGGCCATGTCAAGCATGTGAAGCACCCCCGAAACCCTCTGTGCCCGAGCTCCAGGGAGCAGTCCTTGGGCACGGGTCATCCTGCTTGACCTGTTTCTTTTTTTTTTCCTTTTTTGGTTCACACCCAGTGATGCACAAGGGTTACTCCAGGCTCATGCAATCAGGAATTAACTCCTGGCAGTGCTCGGGGTACCATTTGGGATACCAGGAATCGAACCCAGGTCTGCCGTTTGCAAGACAAACGTCCTACCCGCTGTGCTGTCGCTCCAGTCCCTGGGCCTGTTTCCTTAACTAGAAGACGGGCCTCCTGGAAGCTGCTTTCTCAGTGCTCTGGGATAAAGAGGCTCAAGGGGGGCCCCCTGTGAACTACAGAGCCGAGGTCTCAGCTGCCACCTACCCGCTTACTCGGTGGGTCCAGCTGGCCGCATCTCCGTCCTCAATCGCTGTTGATGTGAGTGACTCTGCGGGCCATGGGCCTAGCAGGGGTGAGGAGAAGCTGCGGCTTCCTCTCCTGGCTCTCACCTCTCTCCGGCTGTCTGTCCCACAGGAATGAACGCTTCTAAAACCAAGCTGGAACTCCAGAAGCACCTGACCACACTCAGCAACCAGGAGCAAGCAACTATCTTTGAAGAGGTTCAGGTACTGTGCGAGCTTTCAGCGTAGCAACAAAGGGTTATTTATTTTCATTTATTTATTTTACTTTTACAGAGTTGTTCACAATACTTGGCTACCTTTAATATTCGAACACCGATCCCACCGCCGTGACACCTTCCTACCATTATAATTCCATCCCAAACCTCAAACCCTACTCCCCCGAGCAGAACCGAAATAATTTATTTTGTATTGCTTATTAGAAATAATCCGCTAAAAAATGATCCAAAAAAGGTTTCTCAGGCAAAAGTGTGTGAAGATTCCTGTATTTCACCCAAGAGCCACTAAGTCCTTCTATAAGAGATTAGTAACATGTTGTTAAAGGTTGAGCCTTGTGTGCTTGTATATGTATCTCTATAAGTATATTGCTCCCTTATCCCCTGAGATTGGTTGCCTTCCCAATCAAATGTGGTGTGGTAGCACTGTAGCACTATCCTCCTGTTGCTCATCGATTTGCTTGAGCAGGCCCAGTAACATTGTGAGACTAGTTACTGTGTTTGGCATATTGAATATGTCTGGGTAGCTTGCCAGGCTCTGCCGTGCGGGCGAGAAACTCTCGGTAGCTTGCCGGGCTCTCTGAGAGGGGCGGAGGAATCGAACCTGGGCCGACTGCGTCAGCCGTGTGCAAGGCAAACGCCTTACCCGTTGTGCTATCGCTCCAGCCCGTGGTGTGGTACTCATGGTGTTTTGTGGTGTAAAGTATGAGATATCGCGCAGCTGCAAATACATGGCAATGACTGAGTTCTGGAGGTTTTCGGCTGCTGGGGCTGGCTCCATTGGGGCCGGGAGGGGCCTCACCTGACCCCCTTCGGGATGCCCCAAATGAAACAGCCTGGCGCGGGGTCTGGCGGCATGGCTATGGCATATCATTTATTTATTTATTTATTTATTTAGTTTTCCTTTTTTTAAAAAATGAAATCATCATGACATAAACAGTTACAGAGTTGTCTATGTGGGGCTGGAGTGATAGTACAGTGGGGGAACACATTTGCTTTGCACGAGGCTGATCTGGATTTGAACCCTGGCATCCCATATGGTTCCCTGAGAACTGCCAGGACTAATTCCTGAGTGCAAAGCCTGGAGTAACCCCTGAGCATTGCAGGTGTGACCCAAAAAGCCAAAAAAGAAAAAAATTATCTATAATTGGGTTTCAATCCTACAGTGTTCCAACAACCATCCCTCCACTAGTGCACATTTCCCACCACCAAGGTCCCCAGTTTCCCTCCCCCCCCCCACCCCCGCCAGGGTTATTTACAGTATTTTTTTTTTTTTACTTCTAGTCAAGCCATCATTGGTTTATTGTGACAGAGTGCCAGCACCTATACTGAAGCACATGCCTCAAACACTTATAATGTGAGGACTCTGATATGGAAGGGTCCCTTTAAGTGGACCCAGCTCTTAGAAAACAATCTCAGTTTAGTCATGGTTTACAAGCCAGAGATGACATGATACCTAGAGTCTCATTTCCTTCTTTTCTTTCAATTTTTTAAAAGTTTTTAAAGTTTCACTGTCACTGTCCTCCCGTTGTTTATCGATTTGCTCAGGCGGGCCCAGAAACGTCTCCATTGTGAGACTTCTTGTTACTGTGTTTGGCATATTGAGTACTCTCGGTAGCTTGCTAGGCTTTCCAAGAGGGGCCGAGGAATCGAACCCGGCTCGGCCGGGCGGGCTGCATGCAAGGCTATTCACAATAATTGACTACATGCAATATTTCAACACTAATCCCACCACCATTCCACCTTCCCAATACCATTATTTCGAATTTTCCCACCACCACTCAAGGCTACCCCACAGGCAGATCACGATCACGATCACGACCACCCTGTTGTTCGTCGATTGCCTCGAGCAGGTGCCAGTAACGTCTTCTTCGTCCTAGCCCTGAGATTTTTTTTTTTTTAAAGTGCCATATTCAAGGCTTTTTCAGGGTTAGGAGAATGAGACCCATCATTGTTACTGGTATTTGGCATATTGGGTATACCACGGGGAGTTTGCCAGACTCTGCCGTGTGGGCATGTTACATTTGCCAATTTGACCAAATTAGGAATGAGATGATAAGATGTCACGCGGCCGCGAATGCGACCGCGCGCTTCCGGGAGCTGAGTGTGATAATCTCTGGATCCTGGCCGTTGTTGGAGTTACACGGCAGTTGGTGGGTGTAACTGTCTAGTTACTGGCAGGTCCAGTCCCAAACTGTACAGGCTTGGAGATCTCAGCCCCGGGTCCCACACACCTGGGTTCCTCTGTCAGTTCTTTTATGCGTGAGGCTCATCCAAGTGTGTGGAGAGTGCTCTCAGCAAGGCCTTGGCTGGGCCTCGGTGGTCTTCAGCTGTTGGGCCCTGGTGGAGACAGTCAGGCATAGGGTAGGAGACTCTGTCTTGTTCTCTCCCAGGAGCTGAGTGTGATGATCTCTGGATCCTGGCTGTTGTTGGAGTTACACGGCAGTTGGTGGGTGTAACTGTCTAGTTACTGGCAGGTCCAGTCCCAAACTGTACAGGCTTGGAGATCTCAGCCCCGGGTCCCACACACCTGGGTTCCTCTGTCAGTTCTTTTATGCGTGAGGCTCATCCAAGTGTGTGGAGAGTGCTCTCAGCAAGGCCTTGGCTGGGCCTCGGTGGTCTTCAGCTGTTGGGCCCTGGTGGAGACAGTCAGGCATAGGGTAGGAGACTCTGTCTTGTTCTCTCCCAGGAGCTGAGTGTGATGATCTCTGGATCCTGGCCGTTGTTGGAGGCAGATGCTAGATAATTTATTCTGAATTGCTTGTTATGAATAGTATGAGATGTCTGTAAAGGTCTGTCTCACAGTGATTCAATAAAAAAGTCAAAATAGAAATTGTATGAGATGTGTTGTGGCCGCACGCTCCTGGGATTCTAAAATTTATTTACTTATTTGGGCTGGAGCGATGGCACAGCGGGTAGGGCATTCGCCTTGCACGCGGCCGACCTGGGTTCGATTCCTGTGCCCCTCTCAGATAGCCCGGCAAGCTACCAGAGTATCTCGCCCGCATGGCAGAGCCTGGCAAGCTCCCCGTGGCATATTCGATATGTCAAAAACAGTAACAAGTCTCACAGTGGAGATGTTACTGGGCCCGCTCGAGCAAATCGATGAACAATGGGAGGACAGTGCTACAGTACTACGGTGCTTTATTTAGTTATTTATTTTTGCTTTTTTTGGGGTCACACCCAGTGATGCTCAGGGGTTCCTCCTGGCTTAGCACTCAGGAGGTGCTCCTGGCAGTGCTTGGGGGACCATATGGGACGCCGGGGATTGAACCCGGGTTGGCTGCAATGCAAAGCAAATGCCCTCCCAGCTGTACTATCGCTCCAGCCCCTAATTCTAAAATTTTAAATAATTGGGATCTGGAGACATCTATGCGGCGAGCTGCTTGGTTCCGAGATTCGTCTCTGAGTCTCTGGATCATGGATGTTACCCAGAGGGAGTTCATGTGCGTGATAGCCAGAGCCCAGACAGACAGGGAGATGGGAGGGGCGGCCCATTCCTGGCTCCTTGAGGCCTGGTTTTCAGTCACTGGTCCCGCATACCTGGGTTTTTCAGCGGGTTCATTCTCTTGTGTGGAGGGGCTCTGGATGAGCCTGTGAAGGTCGGCTGTGAGTGTGGTGGCGATTAGATTCTGGAGGTTTGTGGCTGCCGGGGTCCATTTGGAGCAGACGGAGGGACACACCTGCCCCCTCTCCGAGGTAAAAGGTAAAAGGTAAAGGCCCTCCCGTTGATCGTCGATTTGCTCGAGCGGGCCCAGTAACGTCTCCATTGGAGACTTTGTTGTTACTGTGTCTGGCATATCGAATACTCTCGGTAGCTTGCCGGGCTCTCCGAGAGGGGCGGAGGAATCGAACTCGGGTCGGCCATGTTGGCTGCATGCAAGGCAAACGCCTTACCCTCTATGCTATCGCTCCAGCCCCAGTGAAATCAGCCTGGCACAAGGTCCAGTGAGCTGCTCTGCTCCGAGATTCATTTGTGAGTCTCTACTTTTTTTTTTTTTTAAATAAGGCCAGTGAAGCTGTTCCCACACCTGGGGGGACACCAACTGCCTCCTCCTCCAGCTTTAACCTCAGGGTAGGAGTGACTGTCACCTCTGGGCTTGCTTCTCAATACTTCAAGGGAAGTTCTCCCTTGCAAGCGTGTTTTTGGGGTGAAACAGTGCAAGGTTCGAGAAACAGTCAGTACAGAGGTCAAGGCGTTTGCCTTTTGAGAGCAGACCCTTCTTGCCTTCAGCCCCCAAGGCCGGGATGTGGCTTAAGCCACACAAGCTCAAGCATGTGTTCAGAGTGAGAGGAGATAGTCTGTAGTGCAAAGTGTGGGTGTGGCAGGTGGGAGGCCGGACTCTGGCTCACGGAGGGCTTCTCTTTCGTCTGTCCCTGCATGGGAAACTGCCCACATCCTGATGCCCAGGGCTTCAGTCTCTGCAAAGAGAGGCAGAGGAGTTGACCTTTTCATTATTATATATATATTTTTTGCTTGTAGAATTTTTTTTTTTTTTACTTTTTTTGGTCACACCTGGTGATGCACAGGGATTACTCCTGGCTCTGCACTTAGGCATTATCTCTGTCAGTGCTCAGGGGACCATATGGGATGCTGGGAATCGAACCCGGGTTGGCCGTGTACAAGGCAAACACCCTACCTGCTGTGCTATCGCTCCAGCCCCCCCCTCACAAAATTTACATTTTCTTGAGAGAGACACCCCCCCGCCCCCCCCCCCCCCCCCCCCCCCCCCCCGACGAAAAAGATTCAGGAGAGAGAAAACAAAAGGATGGCCCAGATTTCTGGAGCCGGCCCAGAGCCTCTCACCAGCTCTGCAGAGCTTTCCAGTAGTTTCAGCTTTATAGAAAAATCAGGAGCAAAGTAGCTACAATCCTGCCTGCCTGTCCCTCTTCTCTTGGGCATACCAGAGCTGTGGTAGGGAGCTGCAGACCCCGCTGGTGCTGTGCGTTTTTTTTTGGGGGGGGGGGGTCACACCCGGCAATGCACAGGGGTTACTACTGGCTCTGCACTCAGGAATTACTCCTGGCGGTGCTCAGGGCACCATATGGGATGCTGGGAATCGAACCTGGGTCGGCCGCCTGCAATGCAAACGCCCTACCCGCTGTGCTATCGCTCCAGCTCCCCAGTGCTGTGTGTTTTGTGGGCTTGACAGGTCCTGGCAGCCACCTTGCACAGAAGCCTTGTTCTGGTCTGCCCTGCCTCCTCCCTGTCTCGCCATGGGCTGTTTACTGACTGTACTTTTGTCTTCTCAAAAATGCAACAGAATTGCAATTTTACAGTGTGTGACTTTTTCTCTGGGTTGTTTTCCTTTCACAGTGTCCCTGTCTTTTTTTGCGGAGTAGGGGCAGTTTTAGACTGCGCCTGGCTGTTAGCTCAGCAATCACACCTGGTGGTGCTCGGGGGATCACGTAGGGTGCCCAGGATCAAACTAGTGTCGTGTGTGTGCACCAGGGAAGTGCCTTAACCCCCCGTGCTGTCTCTCTGCTCCTCTCCATGCATTCTCATGGCTTGGTGACTTTCTGGTGCCGTACAAACATTCTTGATCTGAGAGTCCCACTTTTGGGTAAGTCAAAGTTCATCCAGGAACTTATTGGAAGGCATCTGGGTTGCTTCGGAGTTGAGGCAGTTAGGAATTAAGCAGTCTCAAGTATTTTTGTGCATGTTGTTATGTAGATATCCACTTAAAATTTTTTTTGTTTTTTGTTTTTGAGCCACACTCAGCAGTGCTCAAGGGGTTACTCCTGGCTCTGTGCTCAGGAATTACTCCTGATGGTGACTGGGGGACCATATGGGGGAATCATATGGGATGCTGGAGATCGAACCTGGGTCAGCTGCATGCAAGGCAAATGGCCTACCTGCTGTACTATTGCTCCGGTTCTATGGTCACCTGCTTCTGACTCAACCTTTGCTGCATTGCATTGGCAGAGCAGGCTGCCAATAAGAAATAGACCACTGGTTCTGCCATACAGTGGAGCTATGCATTTTGGGTGAGTTTTTTGCTCCCTGGACTTTTCCTCCCCCCCACCCCCCCTTAAGACTCTGGGGATAACCAGGCATGGTTGGGATTTGGGGACGTGCAGTGCTGTGCCCATGACTCCTGTATGCCTGTTTAGAGAGCTTATGGGAACGTTCTGTAGCAAGTACACTTGGGTAACTTAGTTTCTCACACCAGTTGCACAAACATGGAACATTTATTTCATGACATGGAAGTTCCTCCTGGCTTAGAATTCAGATCAGAGAAGTTTTTCAGTGAAAACAGCCCCTTAGGGGCTGGAATAGTAGCACAGTAGGTAGGGCCTTTGCCTTGCACGCGACCAATCCAGGTTCGATTCCCAGCATCCCATATGGTCCCCCAGCACCGCCAGGAGTAATTCCTCAGTGCAGAGCCAGGAGCAACTCCTGTGCATCGCCGGGTGTGACCAAAAAAGCAAAAAAAAAAAAAAGAAAAGAAAAGAAAAGAAAGAAAACAGCCAGTTGACAGTGGTTATTCCCTTGAGTCACAGAACAACTTACCTTTTAGAGCAATCTTTTTTTTTTCTTTTCTCATGCTGGAGATTGAATTTAGGGCCTCACATCTTTTTTTTTAGGGCAAGGCTTCTGCTGCAAAGCAGTCTTTGTTTTTAAAGAATAGGAATGTTAGGTGTTAGGAGGTCTGACTCAGCATTAACTTAGCTTCTCACACCAGTTCCCGGAAGGGGTCAGTCTCCCCCTCTGCTCCTCTGCTCCAAAGAGCAGCCTGGAGTTTTGGAGAGTGGTACTATCTAACCGTCAAACAAAACCTGCAGCGCTGGAAGCTGGAGCTTTACCCTACAACAGCCAAACTTACCAATGTGTCTGCCAAGGAGGCTGGCTGGGGGTGGGGGGGGTGGGAGGGGAGTTGGGAGGGACCCTGGGGACACTGGAATGGGGAAGCTGACACTGGTGGTGAGCATTGTATGTCTAAAATTTAACTGTGAATAACTCAATAAACCACAGCCATGACAATTTAAAAAAAAGTTTGGAGTCGGGAAAGAGGGGTTGACATCATCATCACCATCACAGCTTATCTACAGAACAATTCAGATTTTCTTCACATGTGATGCATTTTAGACGACTCAGGCGAGGCATTCTTGTAAAGTCTCGCTCTCCAGACCCGGGAAAGAGGGGCTGCAGGAGGTGTGGGATTTCGTATGGGATCTTTGTTTTTTTTTTTTTTAATTTTTTTTAATTTTATTTATTTATTGAATCACTGTGGGAAAGGTTACAAAGCTTTCAGGTTTATGTCTCAGTCATGCAGATATCAAACACATTTCCCTTTACCAATACTTATTTTTTACCATGAAGAACCCCAATAAAACCCCACCCCCCACCCCTCCCCGTCCCTGTGAGGCAGATGAATTCTAGTTAACACTCTATCTGCTTTCGTATGGGATCTTTGTTTGGACAGACCCTGTGACTCAGAGGAATCCACTTCCTCTGGGTCACAGTTCTCAGCCGTTTGCTTTGTCACTGCTCCTGCCTGAAGAATACAAAGGCGTGGAGAGAATCAAAAAGGAAAAGGAGAAAACTCAAAGCTCGTGCCCGGAAGTGGTGCGCGCAAGTCCACGCCTGCTGCTGCTCGCAGAACGGGCCTGCTGGGTGCCCTGCCTGAGAGCCGAGACCGCGCTGGCTCCACCAGACGGATCCCGAGCTCTGGGGATCCCACCCATGTCGTTCTTTTCTGTGTTGAAGACCATATATTCGATATTTTGACTAAGATGTTCTCTGATATAAAAATACGTATTTTAGGGATAAGGACATTACAGAGGTCAGAAAAAGTCAACCCAGTGTCTCCGTTGTCAGTGCTTGTGTTTTTATTTTCTTATTTATTTATTTTCCTTTTTGGGTCACACCCAATGATGCACAGGGGTTACTCCTGGCTCATGCACTCAGGAATTACTCCTGGCCATGCTCGGGGGACCATATGGGATGCTGGGAATCGAACCCGGGTCAACCGCTTGCAAGGCAAACGCCTTACCTGCTGTGCTGTCACTCCAGCCCCATCGTGCTTGTGTTTTTTAATTTTTTTAATTTAATTTTATTTTTTTTTTGCTTTTTGGGTCACACCCGGCGATGCTCAGGGGTTACTCCTGGCTCATGCACTCAGGAATTGCTACTGGCGGTGCTCAGGGGACCATATGGGGTGCTGGGAATCGAACCTGTGTTGGTTATGTTGGCTGCGTGCAAGGCAAACGCCCTACCTGCTGTGCTATCGCTCCAGCCCCATTGCGCTTGTGTTTTTTAAACGCACGATTTTGACTTGCCCTTCAAGCCATGTTCTCTCAAATACGTACCTTGCTTGTTTGTCTCTATGGGTATAAAAAAAAATTTTTATTTTTCGCTACACCTGCTGTACTCGGAACTTCCTCTTGGCTCAGTGCTCATTGATCACTCCTGGCAGTGCTCGGGAGGGTGCATGGGGTGCCAGGGATGGTCCCCAGATCCACTGTGTGCAAGGCAAATGCCCTGTGTGCTGTACTTTCCCTCGGACCCCAACTCTCTATTTTCATGCTTGCTTATTCCCACTCCGGAGAAGCTTGTGTTCTCCCATGAATGCATATTTCCCCCTTTTTCTCTCACGTTTTTCTAAGCAAGTTTCATTCACTAAAAACGATCTTACTTTAAAAAACAGAAAGGGAATAAAATATAAGATCTCCACTTTTAAGGTCACTGCTGCCCCCTGGTGAGAGAATTGGGCAAAGCACGGGAGGATGGCGCCAAACCTTTATAAAGGATGGTGGGTCAGTTTGCTTGACAATTAGAAAGAAATTTAATGTGATACACCTTTTTTTCTTTTTAAAAAAGAAATTGAGACCAAGAAATGAGCAGCGTGAGAACGAGCTGATTATTTCTTTCCTGAGATGCTTATATGAAGAGAAGCAGAAAGCGCACGTCCACCTGGGGGAAGTGAAGCAGGTAGGTCTCCCTGGACCGGGATGCTCTGTGTGAGGGAAGAGCACAGCGCCCCCCGCCTCCGGATCCTCCGAAGCTCTAAGAGCCAGTTTGCGCCCCGCGTTCCTGTTTGCCGGGCACGTTGGGGGACAATTGGGCACTGCTGACGGTGTGCATGGGGAAGGTACGAGAAGGTTCTGGGCTGGGAGGGAGGGTGGAGGTGGAGCCATTGCTCTGAACAAGCTGGGAAAGCAGGTACCATGGAGGACAGAGGATGGGAATCCGCGTGCCTCCTGCCTCTCTGGGCCGCCCACCTGGGCCTGACCCCGGGCACCAGGTAGGGACTGGAGCATCTTTAGATAGGATGGGGGCATTGGAGCATCTGCCTGGGCTGCTGGGCTTCACTGTGTCACGCTGTCATTGTCATCCCATTGTTCATCAATTTCCTCCAGCAACGTCTCCATTCACCCTAGCCCTGAGATTTTAGCAAGTGCCACATTGGAGGCTCTTTTAGGGTCAGGGGAATGAGACCCATCATTGTTACTGGGTTTTGGCATATCGAAAACGCCATGGGGAGCTGCTTGCTGGGTTCTCCGAGAGCGAGAACCAGACAATAAGAGGTTGTGAGGCTGGGAGCTTGGTTTTATAGTCTCTGGATCTTGGCCGTTGATGGGATTACATGGCACCGGGGGCAGTTGGTGGGTGTAACTGCCTAGCTACTGGAAAATGGGGGATCTGTTTGGAGAAGGCCCAGTCCCGATCCAAGCAGCCTTGGAGATCTCAGCTCCGGGTCTCGCACATTTGGGGTTACTACTGTTAATTTTTTTTTCTTTTTGGGTCACACCTGGCAATGTTCAGGGGTTACTCCTGGCTCTGCACTCAGGAATTACTCCTGGCGGTGCTCGGGGGACCATATGGGATGCTGGGAATCGAACCCGGGTCGGCCGCGTGCAAGGCAAATGCCCTACCCGCTGGACTATTGCTCCGGTCCCACTACTGCTAGTTATTAATTATTCGTTACAATCACAACTGCTGTTGCTTCTACCCTTCCGCTGCCCCCTCCCCCCCACCCCACACCACAAGCTGCAGGTAGCTTTCCCAGGTCTCAGCTCCCCGTAGCCAGTGCCGACCTGCGGGTCTCTCCCAGAAGAACTTCCCAGGCGGTCTGTGTGGTGCACAGACTGTTTTTCTCTGTCTTTAAAAAAAATTATTTTTAATTGTTTTTGTTTGGGGGCCACACTCAGAGATGCTCAGGGGTTACTCCTGGCTCTGTACCCTGGAATCGCTCCTGGCAGTGCTCCAGGGTCCATCTGGCTTACCATGGTTGGTCGAGTGCGAGGCAAGTGCCCAGCCACTGCACTGTGGCTGTGGCCACCCATTTTCCTCTGTCTTTGGACTCTGTCATTCTAAGTTCCTTCATAAGAGTTTCAAAACATACACATTTTGTAATAGTAGAAATTACTTCGATGCCAACAAAACTGGAGACGAATATTATATATATAAAACACATGAATGTATCATATTAAGGTTTTTTTTTTCCTTTTTGGGTCACACCTGGTGATGCACAGGGGTTACTCCTGGCTCATGCACTCAGGAATTACTCCTGGTGGTGCTCAGGGGACCATATGGGATGCTGGGAATCGAACCCGGGTCGGCTGCATGCAAGGCAAACGCTCTACCCGCCGGGCTATTGCTTTAGCCCCTATATTAAGGGTTTTAAGTAGTTTTTGTTTGGTTTGTGGTCATGGCTGTGCCAGGTATGGAACCCAGGGCCTGATCACACTGGGTTTGAGCCCCACTGCTGAACGGCATCTCCCGCCCCTCCATAAAGTGTGTTCAAGAGACTGGAGAGATAGCACAGCGGGTAGGGCCCAGGTGACGTTTTTGAGACTGTTTTTCCTGTTTTCGGTTTCTACTACCGGATTATTCATTCTGATGTTAGGAAGTTACACCTGGCAGTGTTTAGGGCTGTGCAGTGCCAGGGATCTGACCTGAGGCAGACCAGCCCCAGGGGCCTCCCCATGCTCCCTGCCCGTGGTGTTTGCAAGTGTCCAGTTAAGGGCAGGTAAGGGAGAGAGTGTGGCTGCAGAAGACCGTGGAAGGGGCAGTGAAGCAGGAATGGGGGTTGAGGGGGCGGGTGGGAAGCAGATTCTTCAATTGTTGAACTCCTTAGGATTGGCTCTGGGAAACGCTCCCCCCACCCCCCCAAAAGAGTTCATTCTTCCGTTTGGGAGGAATTCCTTGGATTTTCCTATCCTGGTATTTCATAACGAAGCTGCCCCTGTGGCCTCATCCAGTGTCACAGCTTGGCTGTCCACTTGATCTTGAGGCTGGCTTCAGTTGTATGGGAGAGGGTGTTGGGGTATGAGAAAGCCCCTCACACACTGGGCTGTTCTGGTGGTGGAGCCCGCCATGTTCCAGGCTGCTTTGCTCACTGCTGGGGTTTTTGGCCCATCTCCTTTTCTCTATCCGGAGCCGGCAAAGCCACTCACTGGGCAAAGTTTTTTTCCTAGACTTGCAGCTGTGACACCCAGGAGAAGGCGCATGAGGCATGGACAGAAACTGAAATGTTACCTCTGAGAAGGACTTCATTCTGGAAGGAAGGGAGGGAGGGAGGGAGGGAGGGAGGGAGGAAGGAAGGAAGGAAGGAAGGAAGGAAGGAAGGAAGGAAGGAAGGAAGGAGAGAAGGAAGGAAGGAGGGAAGGAAGGAAGGAAGGAAGGAAGGAAGGAAGGAGAGAAGGAAGGAAGGAAGGAGAGAAGGAAGGAAGGAAGGAAGGAAGGACATTTAGGGAGGAAGGAGTCAATGACCCATTCCCTGGCATTTCAGGCTTCCCGGATGGTCATGGAGAATGCAGGCAATGAACTGCCCTTGAGCGCCCCACGATTCAGGCTGGACATGCTGAAGAACAAAGCGAAGAGATCCTTAACAGAGTCTTTAGAAAGCATTCTGTCCCGGGTAAGTGCTCACTTGCGCCACACTTAAGTTACACCACCTTGTTTGTTTGTTTGTTTGGGGTCCACACCTAGAGAGTCTCAGGGCTAATGTCTGGCTCTGCACTCAGGGATCACTCCTGGTGTTACTCGGGACCATATGGGATGCCAGAGATTGAACCCAGGTTGACTGCATGCCCGGCAATACCTACCCACTGTATTATCGCTCCCGTTCAGGTTCACTGTATCACTGCTGACCTGTTGTCCCATTGTTCATTGATTTACTCAAGCAGGCGCCAGTAATCTCTCATTCGTCCCAGCCCTGAGATTTTAGCAGCCTCTCCTCACTCGTCTTTCCCAACACTGCCATATTGGAGGCTCTTTCAGGGTCAGGGGAATGAGACCCGTTATTGTTACTGTTTTTGGCATATCGAATACGCTGTGGGGAGCTTGCCAGGCTCTGCTGACTGTCCAAGTTACATCACCTTTAAGGGAACACTAGATGTGGGGCTGGAGAGACAGTTCAGGGTTTGAGATACTGCTTGCCTTGCATATGGTCGAGCACCGGTGTGGTACAATCTCCCCGCTCCCCCCAAAGATAAAGCAAATATAAGATTTGATAGTTTGCTTCTTATCCCATTGATACTCACCGCAAAGTGTACAGGCTTTTTACTGAATTCTTAGCTTTAGAACTGTATTTTAAAATCGTATTTTACCTTTTTTCCTCTTTTCTTTTTGAGATTCTCTCCAGTGGTTCTCAGGAGATCCCAGGGACTAATTCCAGTGGTTTTTGGCCAGCTGGGTTGGACAGCTGAATGCTGGGACCCAGAGGATGGGTGCTGCTCAGCCCTGTGTTGCCGGCTACCACCGGGTCAGCACCCAGCAAAGCTTCGGGCCTCCAGGGTCCCATCCAGAGGAGCTCGGGGCTTCCTTGGGGGTCTCCCCAGCAATGCTCAGGGTTGCTGAGGGGACTGTGTGTCAAGTCAGGGCGGCTTTCTCTTTTTTTAATTGAATTTTATAAGGTTGTTCACAATAATTCATTATATTTAATATTGGAACATCAATCCCACCACCGTTAACACCTTCCCACCACTGTATTTTGAATGTTTTCACCCTGAACCCCAAACCGTGCCCCAAAGCAGAACTGAAATAATTTTTTTTGTATTGCTTGTTATGAATAATCGGCTAAAAATGATCCAAAAAAGTTTTCTTAGAAGAAAGTGTGTGAAGATTGTTGTATTTCACCGTGGAGCCATTAAGCCCTCATATAAGAGATTACTAACATGTTGTTAAAGGTTGACCCTTGTGTGCTTATAGATATATATTTTTTCTCATAAGATTGGCTCCCCTCTACTTTAAACCCCATCAAATGTCGCGTGCTGCTCTTGGTACGTCAGTGGCATAGAGTACAAGATGTCATTCCAGGAATGCTAAAATTTAAAATATGGTTATACAGCAGATTGACTCATGGATGAGGCTCATCTGAGCCTGTGGAGAATGACCGTTAGCATGGCGGTGATTTGAGTTGTGGAGGGTTTCGGATGTCGGGGCTCTGTTGGGGTGGGCAGAGGAACTCACAATCCCCTCCACCCCCCCATTGCCTTGGATGGGACAGCCTGGCACAGGGTCTGGAGGCATCTTTCTGGCGTTCTATGTTGCTCCCTTCCGAGAGCTTTATTTCTGAGTCTCCTCTGCTCTATTTTCTTGCATGAATTGTACTTTAATTCCTTTTCTTTCTGTATTTGGGTTTTTTTTTTTTTTCGGCCGTACTTGGCAATTCTCAGAGGTTACTCCTTGTCTTGGTGCTTGAGGATCACCCTGGTAGTGCTCAGGGTCCATGCAGTGGCTAGGGTGGAACCCAGGCCTGTACATGCAGAGCATGAACATCAGTCCGTGGACCGGTCTCCCTGGCCTGCGAACTGTACTTTAAATGCAGTTGTCAGCTGGTGGGCCCCGTGTAGCAGCACTGCGGCCATAAAACAGGCACCTTACCATCAGAAAAATCAAGAACCAAAACTAAATGAAAAAAACACACCTTTTTTTTTTCTTTTTTGGGTCACACCTAGTGATGCTCAGGGGTTACTCCTGGCTCTGCACTCAGGAATTACTCCTGGCAGTGCTCGGGAGACCATATGGCATGCCGGGGATCAAACCTGGGTCGGCCCCATGCAAGGCAAATGCCCTCCCCGCTGTACTGTGGCTCCAGTTGCCTCCCCTAAAGAATTTTTTCTGAGCTCATCAGGGAAGACCCGGCTCTCTGCCCTCACCACTACAGATGCTCTGGGCCCTGACCCGCTGTCTTTCCCGTCCGCAGGGCAACAAAGGAAGAGGCCCCCAGGAGCCCGTGGCCAGCCGGGATCCCGATGGCTCCCCGTTCAGCGCATCCAGCAGTACCAGCAGGGTAAGCCGCTTTCTCTCCCGGGGCCATGGAGGGGACAGGGGACACACAGCTCGTGCCTGCAGTCGTGTGTACTGCCAGGCGCTGTGTCTGACTCAAGAGGACCAGGACGGGAGCAGGACAGGCCGGGCCTCCGTCACAGAAGCACAGGTGCTGCCACTGGAGTTATATCCCCCTCTCTTCCTCTGCTCCCTGCTCTGAGGAGAAAGGCAGCTGCCCTACCCAGGAACAGCGACCCGCCCTGCAGGGCTGCTGTCACTGCCCTCGGCGCCCAGCAGATGCACGGAGCACCCAGAAAGTGTTCACTCCTGCGGGCCCAGTGTCTCACGGCGCACAGACCGCTCTCCGTTCGCTTGCTGGTCCTTGAAATGTATCCGTCAGATGAATCTCCGATACCCTTTCTAGATGAGGTGCAGGAGGAAGTTAAATTGATTTACCCTAAATCACACAATAAATGTTGAGGGGAAGATGTTCCACGTATCCAGAGTACAGGATACAGTTAGGGTTTTTTGTTTGTTTTTTTGCTTTTTGGGTCACATCCAGCAATGCTCAGGGGCTATTCCTGGCTTTGCACTCAGGAATTACTCCTGGCGGTGCTCGGGAGAGCATATGGGATGCTGGGAATCAAACACAGGTCAGCCGCATGCAAGGCAAACACCCTACCCTCTATGCTATTGCTCCAGCCCTGGGGTGGGGGGGGTTGTTTTGTTTTTCTTTACTGTTAAGGAGACCACACCTGGTGGGGCTGGGGTCTGCTGGGGAACGAACCCAGGGTTTTTCCGCAGGCGAGGGGTATGTGCTAGCTCGGGAGCGGTACTCTGGGCCTAGGATATATCTGACCTCAAGATCCCAACTTCCGGCCAGGGCAGAAGCACATGCGTGGCACATGGAGGCCCAGAGTCAGTCCCTGGCACTGCCTGTACCCATGAACACCACCTCTGGGGTCAACCTGCTGGACCCAAGTATCGTCAGGAAAGGCCTGGGTCCCCCGCCTCAGCATTGCTTGGGGAACCCCCTCCTTTTTCCTCCTCCCCCAACTTCTCCTCAAGTAAATTAAGTTCAATCTCAACATTGGATCAGATTCAAAGAGAGCCTGAGCATGTGGCTATACCATGTTCAACGCTCTTGGTTGAGACAGGGAACTTGATTTTTTTAATTTAGTTTTTGAAAGAAAAACATTTTTTTTTTTTAGCCTTTTGGGTCACACCCGGCAATGTACAGGGGTTACTCCTAACTCTGCTCTCAGGAATTCCTCCTGGAGGTGCTTGGGGGACGATATCGGATGCTGGGGATTGAATCTGGGTCGGCTGCGTGCAAGGCAAATGCCCTACCCGCTGTACTATCCCTTCATCCCCAAAGTAAAAATATTTTATTTGGAGGCTTTGAGGAAGGGAAGGAGAGAGAGAAACTGAGAGAGAATAATGCTCTCAAGAGAGAACACGGGCTTCTCCAAAGGTGGAGCGAGCCCCTACTTTCACCCCAGCATTAGATATTAATGCACATCTCAAGAGGGGAGATGCGGGTTCCATATGTGCTGGGCCACGTGGGCACAAGCAGCACATGGGCTCAGGCAGCATATGCACGCCCTCCCGTGGCTCTAGGGGGCTTTTATAGGGTTCTCCCCAACCTGCTCCCATGTGGGGCCTCTAGCTATGTAAGAGTCTGTTGGGAGCAGTTGATAGTCTTCTTTGAAATTCCTTTCCCCGGGGGACTTGATTTTCCCAGACAGTGCAGACACTATACACAGCTTGCCCTGACCTTTTCAGAAGCTGGTCCGAGGAGGGGGACAGATGCAGAGTGACCTCGCACTGCTGTGGGCTAGAAAGACCCTTAGTGACAACACAGGGCGCTGCCTTTAGCAGGGGGCGTGGGGGACGGCCCTGCCGCGCAGGCGGAGGCTCTGGTGCTGGACCCTCCGTGCGGGAATCCCTGCCAATGTCATACTGTCAATCACGGTCCTGAAATCCAGTTTAGGAGGAAGGAAAGAAACAAGACACTTCCCAAAAGCAGGAGCCAGACGGCCTCGCTGAGAGTCATCACTTCAGGGGCTGGAGCAATAGCATCGCGGGTAGAGCATTTGCCTTGCATGCGGCCGACCTGGGTTCGATTCCCAGCATCCCGTATGGTTCCCTGAGCACCGCCAGGGGTAATTCTTCAGTGCAGAGCCAGGAGTTACCCCTGAGCATCGCCAGGTGTGACCCAAAAAAAGTCATCACGCCTCAAGGCTTCTGTCCTGCCCCCGCGCCGTGGTCCTGCGTGCGGGCGTCCAGGAGGGGCCTGGTGACCTCTCGGGGGGTGTCGACCGTGGGCCGGACTTTGACAGCCTTCTGCCTCCTCCCCAGGAGCAGCAGCAGTGGGACCGGGAGGCCCCGGCCGCCTCCGAGAGCTCCTTCCGCCTTCTGGGCTCCTCGGACGACCTGTCCAGCGACTCGGAGAGCACCTCGGCCGAGGAGCCCGCGCCGCTGTCCCCCCAGCAGGCCTTCCGGAGGCGTGCCAACACCCTGGGCCATTTCCCTGTGGACGGTCAGGGCTCCCCCGAGCCGGCTCCGGGCTCCCCCGGGGTGTCGCAGAGGAAGCTCATGCGCTATCACTCTGTGAGCACAGAAACGCCGCATGAGCGCAGGTGAGCATTGGGTCACTCGCCCGGGCGGGGGCGGGGAAGGGCAATCAGCGGCGCCTGTTGACGTCCGGGTCACCTGCTGGGGTGATCTCGAGGGGTCCCCATGCCCGGGTGGTGCAGGGCCGACAGGGAGGCCCCTGATGGGGTGACGGGGTGGGGCTGCAGAGTGGGTCCTCAGGGAAGGATCCCTGACTCTGCTTCTTGCTCTGTTCTGTCCACTGGGCGGGGGCATCTCTTGTGTCACCAAACGGGAGTCTGTGTCGTCTCAAATCCCTGTCTGTGAGGAAGTTCTAGAATATTCCGTGGAGGCTGGGCTCTGCCACACGGTTGAGCAATCTGGTGGCCGGCATTCATTCTTTCTTTAGTCTGCGAGGCCCTTGGTGTCAGAGCCTGTCAGGGTGCTGCCAGCTGTGTGCGGGACTTGGTTCTCGTGAGACCCCCTTGCCTTGTGGACAGGGGCTCGGGCTGTCCCCGTGGCTCAGGGCTACGAGATGTGGCCTGTGGAGTGTGGGGGAGGTGCTTTCACGAGGAATTGTCTACACGACACACACACACACACACACACACACACACACACACACCTTCCGCTCATCTCTTAGCTTATTACTCCTTTACTCTTTTCTGGGTGCTTGGGGATGTGGCTGGACACCACCTTTGGTCCCCAAAGCAGGAGGCCCTCACAGAAGGCACATGGTGACAGGGAGAACATTCTGGAAGCGGCAGCATCCTGCCTACGACTGCCAGTCAGCCTCATCACTGGGTTCCCACCCCTGGGCGTCTATGTTTATTGTGAGAATGGAAAATTTCCTAACTTCAGAAAATCCTGAAGTTCTCTTGCCTGAGATAGTGGTCTCGAGAAGCCTGGGAGTTTCCTGTCCTCCAGGAGAAGGCAGCGTCCCCGGGTGCGCAGGTGGGGAGGAGGCTGGAGAACCGTCTGTACCTGCCCATTGCACCATCTCTCTGGCCCTCTCCTCCCTCCCTCTCCAGCACGCCCGCTTTGCTTTCTGCCCCTCTTGTGAAACTCCAGGAAAATAAGCTGTGGAAATTCAAGACATTATTTGGGGTCAGAGAGAGAGAGAGAGAGAGAGAGAGAGAGAACTGACATTTGCCTTGTAAGATACATTGCTCTGTTGAGAGAGACCCTTTATTTTCTTTGTTTGTTTGGGGGCCACACCTGGCCGTGTTCAGGGGTTACTCCTGGCAGTCTCATGAATTATATGTGATGCAGGGGATCAAACCTGGGTTGGCCACATGCGAGGCAGACTGCTGTACTGTCTCTCCAACCACTTAAAGAGAATTTTTTTTCTGCTTTTTGGGTCACACCCGGCAATGCACAGGGGTTACTCCTGACTCATGCACTCAGGAATTACTCCTGGTGGTGCTCAGGGGACCATATGGGATGCTGGGAATCGAACCTGGGTCAGCCACGTGCAAGGCAAATGCCCTACCCACTGTGCTATCACTCCAGCCCCCTTAAAGAGAACTTTTTCAAACTTTTGTTGTTTTATTTTGTTTGCTTTTGCTTTTTTATATTGAAAAAAATTTTTTTTTCTTTTTTTTCATCATTCTTAAAAAGCACATGAAGGAAGAAGTACTGTTGGTTGCTGAGAGGTCCGGTGGTGGGGGGGTGGGGGTAGGGGAGGATCAAGAGTAGCCAGTTGTTAGAGCTGGGGTGATAGAGCAGCAAGAAGGGAGCCCACCTTGTATGCGACCAACCCTGGTTTAATCCACCCCATGAGGTCTCCCGAGCCCACCAGGAGTGATCCCTGAGCACAGAGCCAGGAGTCCAACCTAAGCATGTGTGCCCCTCCCCCAAACAGCTCCTTGCAGGCCTGGCCCTGGAGTTGCCCCAGAGAGCTGAGAAGCAGGGGGCGGTGCAGAGCTGTCCCTTCCCAGAGCGAGACTCACCCCACCCCACTCTCTCGCTTCCTCCTGCGTGCCCCCTGACCCCCCTGGCTCTTTGTCTGTCTGTCTATCTCTGTCTCTCTCCTTCTTCTCTCTAGTGTGACTCCTCTGCCCCAGGCCAAGACCAAAAGTTGCTCGGCTCAGCCTTCAGCCCCCGCTCCTCCATCCCCTCTCAGCCCCTCTGCCTCCTCACCAAACTTTTTTAAGTACCTAAAACACCCCTCCAGTGGAGAAGCCGGTGGGAATGCAGTGCCCAAGAGGTGAGCCGAGTCGTGTGGTCTGCCCTGTCCTCCATCCCCCTGGCATGGCCCCACTATCCCCCCCCACCCCATCCACCCAGCGGCCACACCTGTCTGTCTGTCACTGCATGTAACAAGCTCCTCCAGCGCTCTTGATGGCACGTGGCTTGTGTGTGCCCGCTGTCCACCCCTCCCTGCCCGCCACGGGGCACCACCCTCTGTGCCCCCGGCCGGGCTCGCCTCATGGCTTAGGAAAAGGACTGTTTCTGCTTGGGAACAAAATGACATCTTAGAAGCTGACTGTCTTTGTCCCCTGTTCTGTTCTTTTCGAATTCCCTTCTGGTAAGAACGCCTGATGTGAGTGAGCTGCCTGTGCCTATGTTTTGGATTTGGAATTATTTTTTTTTAAGAATAATAATGTTTCTATTGAGATTAAGGAGCTAAAATATTCTTGAAAGTTAATAAGTAAATGGAAAAAAAAACAGTTGAGGGGACCAGAGTGATAGAACAGCCGGTAGGGTGTTTGCCTCGCATTTGGCTGACCCAGGTTCGATCCCCGGCATCCCATATGGTCCCCTGAGCACCGCAAGGAGTAATTCCTGAGTGCAGAGCCTGGAGTTACCCCTGAGCATTGCCGGGTGTGACCCAAAAAGAAAACAAAACAAAACAGAAGTTGATATATCATATCTGTTTAATCTTGCATAGTTTATTCTTCATATAAGAAAGTAAAGATTTTCTGGGTATTGATTTATAATGCCTGGAAGAGACACGGAAGCATTCAGTTGTACAAATAATAATACCTTTAAATGAATTTTTAATCCCCAGTTTGAGTGCAATAATTGAGTACAATGAACTGAATACACACACAACCTGTAAATCCTGACCGACAGCACTGGTTTCCATAGCCACGTGTGGTTTTAATGAAGTACACATTTCAGTGTTGAACAAGTACTAACCGATGTCAATAAAATCCGATCCCAAATGCTCATGTGGTGTGGCTGCATGTTTAGAGCATGTAGCATGGCACGAGGTTGCTGTTTGTCCTCACTGCGCTGCTCAGCGGGTTTCTAGAATTCTGTCATCTTACACTGCTGAAGACTCTGGGGTCTTTTCATGCACCCACCAGTTCTGTTCATTTTGTATATGGAAATGAAAGTTTGTATCTCATTTGTGAGCTATTTTTCATTTCTTAGCCTGCTTTGGTTTCTTTCGCTTGGATCAAAACGTGTTTCTCTTATGTTGAAGCTGACATTTTGTCCTTTTCTTGGTGTCTATATATTTTTTTATCCTAAACTCTTTTTTTCAACCAAACTCTTAGCATCTCCTACCGTAATGCCCTGCGGAAAAAACTTCATTCTTCTTCCTCTGTGCCAAATTTTTTAAAATTTCTGGCTCCTGTAGATGAAAATAACACCTGTGACTTTATGCATCCCAAAAGGTAGGGTTGGATTTTAGACGCATCGAGCCTGGGTGGAAGTGGGGAATTGTTGTCTGGTGTTATGGGGGATTTTGACTGACATTGTCATTGGAAAAACACTGCTTTGATGGAATCTCTTGCCTCTCTTTTATTAAACTTTTCTTTCTGAAATTTTTTTTTAAGTCATAGTCAATCTGTTCCTCATTAGGGGCTAGCTAGCATGCAAATATCTTGTGTTCTTCAGAAGGTTGAAGAAAATCTTAGCCAGCTTGCTGAGTGATAGTGGTGCTCTGAATGGCAGCCCGTGTGTGTGTGTGTGTGTGTGTGTGTGTGTGTACTCCTTGGTTGTAATATAGATCCAGGTGTAAATTACAATGATTGGACTGTATTTTTGTAGATTGGAAGGTAGATTTTGTTCTGTAGTTTTAAAAGCACAAGTGACAATGTACATATAAAGTACAGTAGTGAGGTGCCTGTATTATTGCCCTGAGAGTTCTGTGTAACTTAACCTTTTATTTATTTCTAATTGATTAGCTAGGGATGTTTTAGGTGCTCACTGGCTGTTCCCAATTCCCAGTTCCCGGTGGTACTTGGCAGACCCAGGGTTTCCACATACAAAACCTGGGCTCCAGCCCTATGAACTCACTCCACCCCCAATCTCAACTTCACTCTTTTGTCAGTCAATTTATTTTCCTTTTGGTGACCATGTATGGAGACACACCTCTATCCTCAGCTAGTCATACATTCAAGATTCTCAGCCTGAGGGCTGAGGACACCACCCCCTGTGGGAGGGTTTATGCCATTGATGCCTGCAGAGTGATGAGAAGCTGACGATCTGTGACATGTATTTCTTGTTAGAAATAAATTGATGGGGGCTGGAGGGATAGGATAGCAGGTAGGGCGCTCACCTTGCACACAGCCAACCCAGGTTTGATCCTTGCCGCTCCATATTGTTCCCCGAGCACTGCAAGAAGAGATCCCTATCTCCCAACAGGAAGGAAAGAAGGAAGGGAGGGAGGGACGAAAGGGGGAGAGAAAGAGGGAGGAAGGGAGAGTGAAAGGAAGGAAGAAAGGAATAATGGAGGGAAGGGTGGAGGGATGGAAGTACGGACAAAGGGAGGGAGTGGGGGAGGACTATCTTGGCAACATGAAACTGCTCCGTAGGACAGCAATCCTTCCAGGAGTACCTACTTAGGTTTGCAAAGACGATTTATAATTAGTACTTTGTCTTTTAAAAAAAAAAGAGAAAGAAAGAAAGAAAGGAAAGAAAGAAAGAAAAGAGAAATGAAGTTGCCCATGCCCCTTGATGTTGGGCTCTAGTCACAGATCCCTTCTTGCCATCGCAGGGACTTTGACTCCAAATCCAGCCACCCAGGTGACGCCAGTGGGACCCCAGTGAGGACGCGGCGACCATCCTGGCGGCAGCAGATCTTCCTGCGCGTGGCCACCCCGCAGAAGGCCAGCGAGTCGCCAGGTCGGTACGAAGGTAAGCTGGCGCCCTTGCCCCGTGACCCCAGGACACTGGGTGGGAGAAGGTGGGTCTAACGTGTCACCAGGATGTCCAGGTGCCCAGGGAAAGGCAGGTGTGTGCTGGGCCATGGAGGTCTGTGAAGCCGCCTCAGGACCCCCTGCGTGGAGCCCAGCTCTGCCGCCCATCCCTTCCCACTGCGTGGTCCTCGCTCCCTGGTTCTCTTTTTAGGTAACACCAACACAGTTTCTAAAAGCATTTCGTAGGGGTCATGCCCTCCTTTAAACAACAACACAGGTCTGAGATCTGTGTGGAGGATGCAGATAAAAGCGGAACGTAGGGGACTGAAGCAATAGCACAGCCGGTAAGGTGTTTGCCTTGCACGCGGCAGACCCGGGTTCGATTCCCAGCATTCCATATAGTCTCCTGACCACTGTCAGGAGTAATTCTTGAGTGCAGAGCCAGTGTGCAACGCCAGATGTGACCCAAAAAAGAAAAAATAAAATAAAAGCATTACATAAGGGTCATGCCCTCCTTTAAACAACAGAACAGGTCTAAGGTCTGTGTGGAGCATGCAGTTAAAAGCAGAAGGGAGCTCATACTGCACCCCCTGAAGACAGTGGGGGGGTCAGCACAGGAGGCCAAAGGCTACCTGAGCTTCAGCCTTAGGGTCAAGGTGGCCACTACCAGGCTGGCTTCTCTCTCTCTGTCTCTCTGTCCTTTCTGTCTGTCTGTCTGTCTCTCTCTGTTTCTGTCTCTCTCTTTCTCTCTGACCCTTGAAAATCTCCTTCCTTTATTCTTATTTTACTTGTGTGTTGTTTTGTTTGTTGGGCCACATGCCCAGTGATACTCGGGGGCTTCTTTTGGTTCTACACTCATTAATCACTCATGGCTGGGCTCAGGGCAGGATACAGGAGGCTGGGCATGAAACCCTGGTCGACCATGTGCAAGGCAAGTGCCCTGCCCACTGTACTATCTCTCTGGCCCCAGGAAACCTCCCTACTTCAAGCATACCAAGTGTCTCCAGCTGCGTCCTGAGTCAGTTGCTACTCCTTCCGTCACTGCCCGCTTGGGGAGGAGCCCCAGCCAGGGCACCCTCTGATGCATGAAACCCTCGGGGATCTGCAGAACAGGCAGGCACAGGCCCGAGAGGCCTGGATGCGCCCAGGGTTTAGCTGCCCAGCAGTGCCGGGCTTTACAAAGCGGCAGTCTCCTCTGGGTTCTTGCCTGGCCTCAGCCTCTCATAGACCTTCCAGGCCTTCCGAGACTGGCTGTGGGCCGGGGAAGCAGAGTCGGGCTGGCTGGGGAAGGAAACACAGGTCTGGGCGTGTGTCCAGAGAAGGCGCCCTGGGCACGCCTGGCCTCCTCCCTACTGTTCCGCTTCTTCCAGACTGACCTCAGGGCATGGAGAGGCCTAGATTTTTGTCGGTTGGTTGGTTTGGGGATGCTCAGGGGTCGCTCTTGGTGGGACTTAGGGGTCCATGCGTGGTGTCAGGCATTGAATTGGGTGTAACACAAGGTGTGCAAATCTTATAGCAGTATTTTCTTGTTGAGTCTTAAGGGATAATTTTATGGGTTTGGTGTGTGTGTGTGTTGTTGTTGTTGTTGTTGTTGTTGTTGTTGTTGTTGTTGCCACATGGTGATACTTAGGGGTTACTTCTGGTACTGCATTCAGGAATCACTTCTGGAGGGGCTTGGGGATCATATAGGATGCCAGGGATCAGACCCCAGTGGGCTGACTGCAGGGCAAATGCCTTGGCCTTGGTGTTAAGGTTCAGATCCAGAGGGTTAGTTTTTCAACCCTTGGGCATTGGCCTAACTGTCCAGGCCAGCAAAGAGGGTTAAAACTCCACTTCTTTCTCCATTTTCTCCATGTTTGGTAGCAAAAAATACTCCACAATAAGGGTAGAGAAGAGAATTCTCCATGATGAAGAAATAATTTTTTTAAGTCAACTCCCAACTTCGAAATTTGGGGTGGGGTGGGAGTCGGCGGCTGTGTGAGAGCCTTTATTTACCATGTGAGCCAGGAAAGTGTTATCTTAATACCCTTCAGGTCAGCGTTTCAGATTACATTGTGCCTTTATAGACATGACCAACAATGGAGGCTTTCAGGTGTTACATGTGTCATGCAGAGAGAGAAAGAAAGAGAGAGAAGTAGGGAGGGGGGAGAGAGAGAGAGAGAGAAAATGACGGAGAGAAAGGGAGGGAGAGAGAGAGAGAGAGAGATAGGAGGAATAGATACGGGTGATTGATTTGAAACCCATTGTATAAGCAAAGAGTTTTGCTTGAACTGAAGTTCAAAGGGTCTTTGTGTTGGGAGTGTGACTGGGTCCAGAGGCCTAGTTTGCTTGAGGAAAGTGCTGGAGCAGAGAGCAGGCATGCATAATGGTGGCAAAACTCAGGGGTATAATCGGGATTTCCTTAGGAGAGTAGACTTGGGGTATACCCAGCACTGTTCTTGTGTGTGTGTGTGTGTGTGTATGAGTGTGTGTGTGTGTGTGTGTGTTGTGGGGGGTTATGGTGCTGTGGTATGTGTGTGTGTGGTGGTGGTGTGGTGTGTGGGGGTGAGGGTAATGATGGTGTGCGGTGGTAGTGGGGTGTGTGTGGAGCAGCAGTGGTGGTAGTGTATATGGTGGTGTGTGTGTATGTGTGTGGGTGGTGGTGGTGGTGGTGTGTGTGTATGTGTGGATGGTGTGGGTGGTGTGTGTGGTAACTGTGAAGGTGTGTGTGTGGTGGTCGTGGTGGTGATGATTGTGTGTGTGTGTGTGTGTGTGGTGGTGATGGTGTGTGTGTATGTGTGTGTGTGGTGGTGATGGTGTGTGTGGTGGGTGCCAGAATGACTTCTGGCAGAGCTCAGGGAGCCTTGCAGTGTTGGGTGGGTTTGAATGCAGGTCTGTGCCCCTGCCCTCTGAGCCATCCGCCTGCCCTCCGACCTGAATCTCCCTGTAAAGACTGAAGCGTGTGGGAAGCAGAGCGGCTGTCACCTGGGCCCGCAGATGTGTCCCGCCAGGCCGTGTTTTCGAGCATCTCCGGCACATCAGGCAGTGGTCACAGCTGACCTGAGGGACATAACGACAGGGACAGGGAAAACTGCCGAGAAAGGTACCCGAAGTCAGCTTCAGGCCCTTTTGCTTGGAGACTTTTTCCCATCATCACCGTGCGGTTCAGATAGACCCGGAACCCTGCCCTGCTCCCAGCAGGATCTGTCCCGCGTGAGGATGGGGCAGGATTTGCTCGCTCAGTTTCCCAAGCCTCCTCCGGAGAATCCCGTTGGCTGTCCCTCTGGGCGGCCGGAGAGGGTGTCACCACTTGGTGGCGGTGTTGCTCCCTGGGTCTCTCTCCAAGCTTTGCCTTCCCAGAGCAGTGGGCTGACCACACCCCCCTCCTTCCCGCTGTGTTTTTGTTCCCTCCCCCACCCCATTTGTTAGTTTGTTCGGGCTGCTGTGTCTTTCCTGTCTGTTTGCAACCCATCTGACAGGAGGACAGGGTTTTCAGGGAGCCCGTAAAACCAAGGGAAGCCCAAGAAGAAAAGAAAGGCGCTCTGTGGCTGCCAGGACACGCGGCCTGTGGAGATTGTTCCTGATTTACTTTCTTGTGTAACTTGGCGTTTCTGTGCTGAATAAAGGCCAGGCTCGAGATAAAATATCGCGCGCCAAGAATGTGATTGTTCGCGGACTTTTATAGTTGGGAGCAATTAGTTTTCTTTCCTCCCCTTTATTGTGCTTCTTGGCACATCATTACAGATATCCTGGAGCCCCGGCGAATGCCAAGATTTTTACCTGGTTTGCTGCCTTTTTTTTCTTTTTAACCTGTCAACAGTGGAAAATCAGTGTTGAAGGAGCTATTCCTAGTTAATCATTGACATTGAAGCTGTCAGTTCCTCTGCTTGGTGCAAGGCAGCTGCTTGGGTGAATGGGGGGTGTGGGTGCAGACTCCTCCATCTCTGGAGCTTGCTGGGAGGCTCTGGGTCAGGGGCATGAAATAGACAGCCTGGGTGTCCACCCCAGGATCCAGTACCCACTCTGGCCAGGAGTCACCTGTGGGTTACTTGTCCTAAGTACCCTCATCAAGGTTTGTTACTTTAGTGATGGAGCCTGAAATATTTTCATGTGGATAAAATCTATAGATTTTATCTGAAGGGTCTTGGGGAAAGCCAGGTGGGCGGGGTAGGGCTTGCTGGTGTCCCGAGTACAGTGTTTAAGAGGACACTCACTCTCAGGAACCTTCAGCTGCTGGCCCTGTGCTCACACAGCGAGTCAGTGGACGCCTCCTGAACGTGGGCCCTGCCCTCTTCTCTGTGGGGTCCAGGCCACCCTCCTGGAGAGGCCAGAGAGCTCCGAGGATGAGGATTGGCTAAAGGGACGGAAAGGTCAGGGCCCTCCCCAATGTTTGGCCCTCCCAAAGTCTTCTTAGAAGCAACCGTTAACTCTTGCTAGTTCAGGTCACATTTTGGGCACTCAGTGGCTCCAATCCCAATTTTAGAAGACTCCTCCTAGTTGAAGGGTGTCCGTGGGTTTTGTTTATGTCATAAAGCAAGCATCGCTCTGAGGGCAGCCCTGTTGCATGTCCTCACTGGTCAGGAGCTGGGTGGCTCCAGCCTGGCAGCCCCGGGCTGACTTTGCCAGCTCTCCGCTTTGTAAAACACTGAGATCAAAGTCCAGGGAAGCATCAGAACAGTTTTCTAAATGTATCATTTTGAGAGCCGGTTAGTCTCTCCTCACCGCAACAACCATGAAAATCTGTGCAGGGTGACCGGGAAGAAAATTATAAAGGTCGTTCTCTGAAGTAGGAGCGTTGGTGATGGTCTTTGGACTCGGCACCCATTTGCAGCCCACAGCTCTTAGACTTCAGAAGATTCTTTTTTTTTTTGCACAGAAGTGGGGGCGTGGGGTTCTCTGGTGGGCTGGAGAAGGTGCCACCGTGGGCACTTCTGCTGCAGAGATGCTGCGGGGCTCTTGCAGCTTTCCAGGAGACTGGCGTTGTGGCCGGGCTGGAGAGACAGAGGGAGATGAGGCTTC